GCAAGGCAACCGGGGAGGACATTCGCCAGCTCCGTCAGAAGAGTGAAGCATCCTTGTCTTGACCTGACGCTCTTCTCTTTAAGTTGCTTGTGCAAAGCTTTGATAATATTTGGAACCTATACGATTAGAAAGGAGCTCATCAGTAATCTGATTCAAAGCCAAAAGAACTCAAAATCCCAGCGAGTATTAATTACCTGGTACAAAAAGGAAACTTGATCCATGTGGACAATGCTTTCGGTTGTAAATGAAGAATTATGGGTACACAAAATCACGAAGTTTTATTTAAAGTGGAGAAATAATCACTATATTTTTCCCTTTAGGCAAAAATATAATCTTCAATAGCCCATTATTTTATTTATTTAAATATATTGCCCCACCTCCACCTCAACTCCAGTGATCTCTATAGTTATTTCTAACAATTAGTTGAACGTTTACTTAAGCCCGTGGTGGCGAACCTATGGCACGGGTGCCACAGGTGGCACGCAGAGCCCTCTCTGTGGGCACGCGCGCCGTCGCCCCAGTCCTAGGCCTTCAGCTGGATTTTATAAAACCTTTTCGCTTTAGGCCTCTGCCGCCGTGTGCAAAAAAAAAAAAGGTTCAATCAATCAATCAATTTTAACTTCTCGCGGGGAAAAAAAGATCTTGCAAAGTTGGAATTGATTGATTGAAATTTTAGTCCCACCCAGTCTGCCGTTACCACCGCAGCCACGCCCACCATATGGGCCACACCCACCCAATTGACCACATCCACCCGGCACCCGACGATACATAAGTGGGTTTTCGGTTGCAGTTTGGGCACTCAGTCTCTAAAAGGTTCGCCATCACTGACTTAAGCAATCATTATTTTTAATGGGCAAACAAGTCACCGTGCTCTCCAAAATCAGGACAGAGTGGTCAAATCACTGAGCAGATCACTACTATATAGCTGAGCTTATTTACATAAGCTTACATCCTTCCTAATGTTGTTGGATGGCTACATATTTAGAACTGGTACAGAAAGTCTTTCAGCAAGAGTACCACTGTAAAAGTCACAACAAATAAGCAACAATAACTCTGGACAGGCAACAAGGCCTACAAATATTGCCACTGATATCTGCTAGGCTGCTGCTGTCAACTTTACTAGGTGGACCAGACCAGAAAATCAATTCCACAGAAAGTCTAAAACTATGTTTATCCTTCAGAATACCAAATAGGACAAGAGGCAGTAACCTTTTCAAGTAGCTGCATAATATTGAGTCCGTCAAAGAAGAGTTAAAATGATAAAAACCTCACAAGGCCTCATGAAAGGCATCCCACAGATAGCTCAGTTCTGAACAGCTGAAACGACGTTTTGAAACAGCAGTTGCATCCGGGTATCATGCCAAACATGTGACATGTGGTTAAGGTCAGCTCACCTGGTTCTGAAGCATGGTAAGAGGTATGTCCTCTTTGCCTGCTTCATCTGAAGCTTGCAGCCAACTCTGAATGGGCAGAGTTTGCTTCAGTAAAGATATATACGCTGAGAAGATGTCAGCCTTAACATTCTCTTCCCTTTCCTTGAATCTGTTTATTAAGGCGGGAGAGAGTGTTTTGTAGAAATCCTGCAGAAGGTCATGTCTGGTGCTGACAATGGCCTCAAGGCACTTTGCAGCAGACCGACGAACTTTCCAGCTGATGTCATCATCATCACTATACTCATCATCACTTTCTGAGGAGGAAGGAAGGAAAAGAGAGCTGTTCTGGACAGATCTTGTAGATAGAATTCATTTTTTTGTTGTTTCAAAAGAAAACTCAGCAGGGGCTATTTTACAAGTTGACTGTGTGGTCAAATTCTCACATAAACTACCATGTACCTCATGCAGTTCACCTCTAGAGCTTTGAGTACGATGTAAAGCCATATTAATATGATCTATGAATTCATAACTTGCCCAGATTATGGAGGACTCCAGACAGCATTAAATGAACTCACATCCCAGTAAATAACTATCGAAAGCAAAAACAAACTCAAGATAGGTACTTCTTAATAATTAAGTTGATTATTTGTTTATTATTGTGTTTAATTTTAAATTATTTTAATTTATTTTAAAAGGGAGTTAAAGTGTGTTATAGATTTGGTTACATAATTAGTTGGATAATGTTATTTAGATTATGATTAATATATTTGTAACCCTGTGAACAGCTCTGGGAAGTGGGGGGGTGGGGGGTTTTTT